TAGAAAAGTTTAAATAACTATTAGCATTATTTTCTATTTACAGTAAATAATGTAGGTTGTTGGACTTTTAAATGTTTAAAATATCAACTGATGTAACTGATGTAATCCTATTTTTATATAATTATGTGAATTTTGATTTTTAGTATATAAAATACTTTATATACAGTTTCTCAAGGAAGTATCTTAAATTTCCATATCAAAATTTTTTACCATTGTTAAGTAATTTACTAAACAATCTATTTAAATTGGACCAAGATATTAATTAAAAACAAACCATAACAATATCAGAGTAAAATATTCAAAAAAGTTTATAAATATGGGTTAGATATTATAAGTAGGGTAGGGTATAGTCAATTTTAAATAAAATATGCATTGTATGAAAAGTTTAACATTGTTCCAAAATTTAATATAAGTTGATATTTTTCAATGAAAGCTCATACGATTGTTTGTAACTAAAATTATAGGCTATTCACATGGCAAGAGTTGAGGTTCATTTGTATCGAATTGTTGCTGTTGTCAATGCGTTTGTTATTTACATTGAAAATATTTATGCAGACATAACGGAATATGTATTTTACAAATTTTGGTGATGTAAGCTAGCATTTTTGATCGTTTTTAATATTATAATATAGTACTTCTACATATGAGCTAATTTGCAGAATGTTTGCAAGAGCGCAGTGACAAAGTTTATTTTGCATTCGTATTATACTCTTAATGTATGTTTTTTAAAACTGATTAGAAAGACATATTTTCGATTTTTGTTTATTACATTCGAATATTTATGGAAGTACTCTCAAAGTGTATAATATCCTGTTCTTCAATACCACTTTATTTTTATGAAATGTTAAAGTTTTCTTATATGATTATTTTGTTTTTGTTTGATTATCTCATTTTTAAGTTAATTGATTATTTTTTTAGTTTCTAATTAAATGACAAAAATATCTAGATAAAATTTTATCATGTGAATAAGGAATAATACTATTTTTTAAAAACACAATAAGTTGATTTTGCTTGATTTTTCCTTTGTGTTCGCTCTTCAGTGGCATATATCGTACGCGACTAAGAAAATAGATTCTTTACGATAAGAAAATATATTAATATAAATAAAATCGGGTATTTATTTAAGAAAAATGTTAAAAATAAATCAGAATTGTATAAATGTCAGGATAATTGTTTAAAAAAATATTTATAGACTGTTTAATACATAGATCATCTGTTCATGATCAGACCAGATGTTTAGTTCTAGAAATAATATTATTGTAATTTTTAATAATCGTAATATTTCTTTTTTTATATATATGCAATGGAAAGTATTGTTGTTTATAGGTCAGTTTTATTATTAAAAAAATTTATTCACCTTTTTTTTTTCAATTTATGATTATCGATTATAGATAATTATTTGAAAAATGTCTAGCCAAATAATTTATACATCAGTGATAATTAATTTTAAACCACGAGATAAAGAGTTGTAAATATTTTTATAGTGACGTTTTTATGTAGTGACAATGACTAATATAAAATATGATTTAAAAATAAAATATATATATATATAAAATTTCCATATTTAGCACTTCATATATTATCAATATAATGTATTAAGCTATTAATTAATAAGGGAAAAATTAGATGTTGATTGTGTTAAAAGGTACAAGAAAAATAATTTGAAGACGCAATCGATTCTATTTATATTTTTATACTCATCTACGTATTTTGTATAACTGTTATATTACTCATATAGTTAGTTCCAGTCTTCAAGTAATTTATACTTGTTTTTAACTTTATTTTATTTTTATCATTAATTAGTTACATGTTCGATTTAACTAATTTTTCAATTATTAAAGAAAAATAACAAACAAATAAATATATAAAAAGTTCTATATTCCTGATATATTCCTAAATTAATAAATTTGTGATATTTGATTTAGTCGTTGAATCAACTAAGGCGAAAAAGGCTTTGTTTTTCGATATTTTCAAGCTCTTTTAGTCTGTTTTGAAGGGCTATGATAAATTTTTCTATTAGTTTATTGACAGAATCAAGTTTTAAGTAGTGAAATGCATAAACAAAGATATATTGATAATCTTCAAACTGAATTCTAAATTAAATAATTATTTATAATTAAGATCATAACTATATATATATATTTATTTATAGAGAAAAAGCTTGTTTTTCGCTTTCTTCATTCATTTATATTTAGTGTAATTAATTTATAATATAAAAACCCGCCAAAATTTAAGAATTTTTTCTTGACTATTCGTTTCTATGCACCTTAGATTAAACTTTTATAAACCATCGTTTCTGAGAAGCAACCCCTGGGGATGTTCCGTTAAGTGGGGTTTTTATGATTAAAATAAAATAGTGTTGTTTACGTGCTTACTTCAAAGCATCATGTTGCATGTTTTATATAAATAAAAATAATTACTTAATGTTCACGAATATGTACCCATTAAACGAAATTTTTAGACAACAAAAATGTTACATTAAAGGAGCAAAAAGAAATTAGATGTATAAACAAGTTAAAACATTAGTTTTGATAAAGCAAAGACTCAGAGCTCTATTGACAGTTTGTAGCAAAAGTTTTATAAGTTTGAAATATAAGTTTATATACATTTAATAAAAAAAAAACAAAAATGTTTCACCGTGTTGTTAAGTTTGATTCTTGTATCTTGTAAATCATGTAATAATAAAATAAAACTAATAATTCAAATAGTTTTTTTATAATATATATTTCAGAACCATCAGATCAATCGTATAGCAACTATATACAAATGTGAATCCATTGTCTTTATTTTTCGTATCAATATATAATATAATTGAAAAAGCTTTTAAGTTTATATAAAGTGACTATATTGTTAAATAAATTTTACAAAAACTTGTAATTAATCATCCGCTTTTAGGACTTTTATATTCAAAGTTTTAAAAATCGAATCAGTTTTTGATAATACTATATATTTAATGCAAAATATTCGAAATGCATAATTTAAAAAACGCGTATGAAATTTATCGACTTTAAGAAGTACACATATGTATTTTTTTTTTGCATAAAAGAGATATATAAAAACGAATCATTTATATATATATATACATTGTGTTTAAAAAGTTTTCTGAATTGGAATTTTGAAAAATGCACGATACCAAGGGTTTTTGAAAAAAACCTCATAAAAGAAAATACGTAAAATGACTTAAAGGTTATGCCTAAATCGGCGTATGAAAAATGTGTCAATAATGTTTGTGTAGTTGTCTTGTGTTAGTTGGTGTCTAAATCACACCTTAATCATATTAATACCTATATCATATTACATATTGGAAATTTTGGTGATTTCTCTTGTGGAAAATTTATTTGTAAGGGTTGCATTCCACATTTTTCACCTTAAATGAGCTGATTTATTGATAATGAGCTTATTTACATGAAAGATTTTTGTGTGGTAAATCATTCTCATGAGAGGTCATAATGACCAAAATCGCCTTAATGAAACAGTGTGAATGTGCTATTAGAAAACTTCATTTAAACCTGTAGCTATTCATAGTACTAAGCAATTACCTCAATGAATAACTCAGTTTCTATCCTTACAACGACAATATATACCATATGCATACAATATATAATATATATTGTATATATATCATATATAATATATACAATATATATATGTATGTATGTATAAATTCTATACAAACTACATACATCTATCTATACAAGTAAGATTATTAAATATTTATCTTTAGTACTAAACTTCTCGTGTTTCAGTGTTAATTTTCATATATTTGGCATTACATTTAAAAAGGCTTATTAAAATGTATTTTTTAAATAAATTAATTATGCCATAAATGAAATTTTCTTTCATAAATGTATACTGCGTAACTTTAGGGTTCGGTGGCATGCACTGCGTAAGTTGCTTGACCTTTTACGTTTTTGGCATTGTTGGCTTAGAGTAAAACAAAAATCCTCTTGACTAAAAGATTAATACTATTATATTTTAATACAATTCAAATGATATATGGCATAGAAAACATTGGCTGTGAACTTTAGCTTTACTGACGCAATTTGTGCCTTTGTTTTGATTTGTTGTTACTACTGATAATTTCACAACAAAAATTATTGTTTGCCTTTAATGTTGTTTTTAAAGACGTTATTTAAATCACGTAATTTTTAATAATTATAGTTCGTATTGGGATAACAATTAAAAATTTTAATATAAAATTCACATCACCAGTTTTACAACAACTTTGTTTCGTGTTATTGTTCGTTATCAACATCTTGGCTATTATTTTTTTATTTGTTTGCATTATCAGTTTTTTAAGTATTAAATAGCTAACATATGACGAGAAGTTCGCAAATCTCAACTATCAATTTAGTACGTTCAGCTGAGTGTACAATAGTTAGTTGTGTTATCTTATATGAAATGGTAAATAAAAGACCACGCGTTATTTACACTTAAAATATATATAAAATTATATAAATTTAATTTACATACACAAATAACTTTTAAGCGGACTTGTGATTTTTTTAATCATTTTTTTTTGTGTACGGATTTTTTTTTTTTTTGAAACTGACTCACGCGATCGCGTTATTCAAACAAGCGATTTCATTTGTACAAATTTACTGTATATTAAAACTGATTAGCATTTTAATTTTTTCTTAAATGAGTGTGTTAATAATAACCGCAAATACACACATAACGCACATACATACATGTGAAATTTATGCCTATATATGCATGCAAATTTGTTTATAGAAACGAGTTAAAGGCAGGCAATATCGAAGCGTTTAAAGACCAGCAGTCTCATTTGTTTAGCGATACTTAAGCTAGAAACCTTTCTCAAATTTTGTTTTCTATTCAAAGAAAAAATAAAAAAAATGAATAAATAAAATTTTTTTATGCATATAAATAAATATGTTTTACCTTTCTAAAGAAAACTATAATTTTAGTTTGAAAAGATAAATAAAAAAATAATATATAAAAAAAATTAAATAAACTTAATTGTTGATTATGAAATGAAATGAAAACACTAAATAAAATAGTGAAATAAACAGAAAGTGTGAAATAAGAAAATTAACAATTACCCTAAAAAGGTCAAGAAGATAAAAGGAAAGTCATTAAGAAAAGTGATCGTGTCTTGTGAATATGTTGAGAACACCTACCACACACATTGTGGAACTTGGTACAAATACGAAAACTCCATTGATAAAAAAAATTCATTCAGGAGGACCAAATTCCAACAGCAACAAACACAACAAAAACAACAATAATAATAAATTCTTCACAAAACAACAACTACAAACATCATGTAAATTATATTGTGATAGTGATCATCACTTTTATCAAACGGAATATCAGTTTCCATCAACAAAGAAAACAACTACAGATATTCAAAAAGAACCTCAAACAACAACAAAAAGTGCGAGCATATTGTCGTTAACACCTTTTGCATTTATGCGTATAAGAAAATCAAAGACAACAACAACCACAACGACAACAACGAAAGCAACAGAAGAAGATAAAATAAATAACGAAAATAATATAATTTTTTGTTGTGATAACAAGATAACAACAACAACATCTACAGCATCTTCGCGTACAACACTTGTCGCCTTGACAAATACTCAAAATTTTAGCAATAATATATCTCCTTCAAATTTTAACGATAATAATAACAAAAATACTAATAACAATAATAATAATAATAATAATAATAATAATCTTAGCAAAAATATAAGTAGTTTTATAACAAAAAAACGAAAGACAAAAAAGTCTGCAGCAGCAACAAAGTTGTCATCGCTTGAAACGTCTTTGTCATCATCTTCATCATCGTTATCATTATCATCGTCATCCACAATAGCATCAATATCAGTTGGCTTGAAGGAAAGTGAAAATGTTGTTGCGACAGCAGCAACAACAACAATTACACCAACCAAAATATTATCACCAAAAGTAACAACAATTCGCACCAACAGCACAACCAACACCACAACCAAATCATCAATGTCACCAACATCGCAAACACCGTCAAGAACATCGTTATTCGATTCTTGCCATAGAAAAATACGCTTAATAGGAGGTGGGCCAGTTGCCTTTTTGGGCGGATTAGTAGCGTAAGTTTAATGTCATATATTATTTTTTATTTTACGCATTTATTTTTTTATTCTTATTTTATTATCATTATAAACATATACGAGTATTACTTTTCTGTGTTGACAATTTAGTATAGAGCTTATCACATTCAGTATCGCACATGTTTATTTTTTTGGTCATTACTTTTTTTTATCAGATTTTAACTGAAAATATAATAATATTAATAGTTTTTTCCCAGCATACGAGGGTAGTAGCATAATACGTTATTTATTGGGATATTTTTCTTTTGCAAATATGTCACTTAAAAAATAAAGATAGATTTTAAAAACTAATTTAGATGAAGTAGATGAAGAATGATTTGATACCATTAAAAAAGATTAATTGCTATTTTATGGCCCATTATGAAAAATTAATATAGAAAAATATAAAAAATTGCTGAAATGAATAATTTTTTTAGTATTTTTAAAGACAATACCGCAACATATATACCATATAGCCATTTGGAGTTTGATTTTAATTATGTATTAGGTTATTTAATTTTGAAACTTAATAGTTTTATTCAATTTTTAAAAAATTTAGACTTTTGACTGACATAAAATAAAAAAAAGAAGATGGTTAAACTTATCTAATTTTTTTAGAGTCCTATTGTATCGAGAATGTAACGTTATACTATGTTAATTTCGTAAAAATGAAATTAAGTTAATTTCGTAAAAATGAAATGAAGTTAATTTCGAAAGTATTCATACTGCCTTAAATTAAAGAAATCATATGAAAAATTATAAAAAATTATTGATGATGAGAAAATTATATGCTCCAAACACCATTTGTATCTGGGAAATTCTAAAAGTTGATTATTATAACTATGGCATTCAGTAGTTCTATTAGCTTTAGTAGATTTCAGGTATGCGAATTATTATTTTTCACTCTATTTTAAATAAATAACAGTTACAGTTTTTTCTCTATATTTAAATTTAAAAATTTTTGCACTGTCACTAACATTTATTTAAAAACAATGTCACTTTTCGTTATCTTAACTTTATCTTTTGCTTAAAATTTATTTTACGCATAGTTGCATTTGAAATGTCCCTTAATTTCAGCCTTCGTTTCAAGGCCATTTTCCTTAATTTCGTTTTGATCTTTAATTAAACTTTAACTTAATTTCGATGCAAGGAAGATGAAGTTAAGATTTTTGCGAAATTAAGGTGTGTCTGAAAATAGTATTAGTCTAAAGTGTGAAATATTTTAAATTTTCCAAGTATTGTGTTTATATTTTAAATTTTTATCTTAATTGGGAGATATGCGTAAGTAGTTAGTTTGATTAATGGTATTTAAATTTATGTTATCAATACACAAATTAATAAGAAGTTAATTTTAAAATCTCTTATTTTCTAAACATATAAAATGTACAAATCAGTTTTAAATTCTTCTCTTACATTATGTTAAACTTATATAATTATAATTAATTATAAATTATATAATTATAATTATAAACTTTAATTATTTTTTAATAAATATAAAATAAATATGATTACATTAAAAAGTGCTTAGAGTTAGTTCACTTTATAATAGTAATATAACAAATAACGCTTTCCTCGTACATAATGTTGCTAAGCTGAATTATATGTTAAAATGTTAAATGTATTTTTGTGTTAATAATACTTGTTTATTGTTCACACAGTCTTCTTGTGGTCATTTTCCATTTTTGGTATTTTATGAATAGTCAGATTGATTATTAACTTTGTTGTTGTACTTTGAGTTGTTGTTGCTATCGTATTAAGTTATATTTCATTCGCTGCTCGAGGTTCTTTTATTTGATTTCTATGTTTACCTTGAGGGTCTAAGTTGCTCATTGTTTGCTACTCGAAGCTGTTGTACAATGTCGTTGCTGATATTGTTACTACTGTCAAGTGCGCATAAGTTAAACGTTTCTTCACCTCTTTAAGTTGTCAATATTTGTTGGTTAACTTAATTTAATTTGTTATTTCCTTTCTGTTTACTCAATCTTTTCTATGTGAAGTAGCGAGTAGCGAGTAGCTAGTAACTAGTAACGAACAACTGCTAAAGGCTTTCGTATGACTTTATTCAGAAATTCGTAACCGTTGCAATCGGAAGCATATAACAAATAAGAAAAAAAAAAAACAAAAAGAAGTAAATGAATAAATAAAAGGCACTAAAAGCACAGGTTGAACTAACTTACCTGGAATTTGTTAATCTCGTTGTTTTGCTCTTACAGAATGTAACTTCCTGTTTCTAATGTCTGCTCTTTCCAGCTGTTTGATCTGTTGTTGGCAATAAACTGATTCAATACGGCTGGCTTTGTTGTCAGAGTTGGTAGTGTGTTAAACTTAGTATAAAAAAAAAGTAGTTCAACAAACACTTCTCAATTTAATAACTGTACCGTGATAAATTAATCAATTCGTTTATATAGTTCAACAAGCCAGCAGGAAGTTGAACCGCATACTGTTCGAATGACTTTTCATTATTTCAACTTGAGTGATAACTCTTTTCCAGCCCATATTGGCGTATTGGTGTTGTATGGCAATATGATTTGAAACTGCATTTTCCTTTTCTAATAGGTATTGTGGTTGCAAAAAAAGGTCTGATTACTTTTCTCTTTTAACGCAATTGCGGCTTATAACTTTCAAAAGTTTTTGCTTTAGCTTTATGGTAGACTTATTGGTTTTACATACATATCTCAAATATTTTCTTAGATTATTCATATTTTCTCTTATTTTATGAACTTGTATAAAATTGTATAATTTTTATGCAGATGATAGAAAAAGAGTTATTAGGTAAGAATATTTTCATATTTTCCCAAGCAGATTTAATTACCAAAGAAAATAAATACAACATTGAATAGAGAGCATTGAATAAAACTTCTAGTGTTTTTATTTTTTGTTATGTATAAGAAATAAACAATAGAAGATAAATAAAATTAAGCAATGGATTAAAGTTGTATTTACAATAATTCTAATTGTTAATAAATATACCTCTGTGCAGCTTTTATGTATATCCTTTGTGTAGGAAAAATTATATCAAAATGTAATATAACAATACTACTACTACCATTGTCCACTATATTGGGGTATAGATCCTCAATAATTTTTCTAAATGTAACCCTATTTGTTGCTTCTTTATAGATGTCGTTTTTATGTATATCGTACTTCAGCTAGCTCGTTTTTCTCCACTTTTTCTCTGGCTTCTCGGTTGTTCAATATAATATATATAATATAATATGCATAAAAATACAAATCTTATTTTAAAGTCTTCTTAATACGATAACACAATTGGACAACATGCCATAATAACCTACAATGCTTTGGACTGATATTTATATTAATTGGCGTCGCTCTAGATTAATAGTTAGATTTTGCTAACAAATTTATTCTATGCTGTAGTGTCCCATTTGATACACTTTTTTTTGAATAAAAAAATTGAATAAATTCATAGAAACCAAAAAATATTTAAAAAAATTAAGGATTCAATATCATCTCCTAATCATTTGACCTAATTATCTCCAATTTTTATCATTTGACCTCTATTTGACATCTCTAATTTGGGTGATATTTTTTTATGATTTCGTATAATGAAATAAAGTAAAATTTTTAATTCTTGTTTTCCTAAGATTTACAAGGTGTTTTAGGAATTTGCATTTTTGTTTTAATAAATATATTTCAGGCTCTGTAATGGAAGAGACTTAAAGCAAACTTTAAGTGATTGAAAATTGTATTTATAGTTTAAACAATTAAAACTGTATTCAAGTGCTAATATTAACCGTTAATTAAAAAATATTTTTATTTTTAAATTATACACTGAAAAATTAATTAATCGAGTATCTCTCATCAAACGCGATATAACATATTAGTATTGAATGAACTTTCGAAAAGTTTGTCATATAAATATTTATTTTTTATTTTTGATTTGGATTTCTTATTGACCTTTACTTAAAAGTGAAAATTATTAGAATGTTATTATTTTCAAAAGTATTTTTAAGAAATTATTGAATTGCGCACCCGACATTTTCTAATACCTTTTTAAATACTTTCAACCAATTTAAAATTTGGTTTAAAAGCAAATTTTCAAAAGTTTATAGGCTCGCGTCTCGTATAGTTCATAATACGAGTGAATTACTGTGTAAAACAATAATTTTGATGTGGTGTGTTTAATTTTATAAGGTGAATGGTACATTCGTCGGTTTTTGCTAATACATTTCTCGCAAGAACCCTAGTATAAAAGAGTAGAGACTAAATTCATTCCGCCGAATTTATGTAATTTAATAGGTCTTTCATCTTCAGCGCTGAATACTCTGATAAACTATCAAAGAAGTATCTTCCTAAGAACCTATATCTTCTGGACGCCAAAGTCGGGGATTCACAGAGAAAATGTATTATGGTTTCTTTCTCCTGCGGGTTTCCACAACTTCTGCAGTTAAGATTATGGGGAATGCACAGTTTCTCTGCGTGATTTCCTACACACCAATTACCAGTAAGAACTGCAGTAAGCCTTGCAGTGTTCACGCGATCTCTTCTGATCTATTTTTATTATAGGTATGCCATATTAACCTATATAGTAAGACTTACTTATACAAAAATTTTAGATTTCAAACGTATTTACTCAACTATTATTCATTCAAATATTATGTAAACTTCATTGTTAATTAATGGAGGGTCTACTTTACTACCGCATGCATTTGCCAATACATGTTCTTTCCATAAATAAATATTTTTAAAAAGTTCTGTTTATTCAGTAATGCATCTTGAATAATATAAAACAGTTTCAGAGCTATAAGTTATATAATATAATATATAAATATAATTTAATGAAAACTGATTCATACAAATTTTTATAACCTTAACAATTTTTCTTCTTGCTGTCCTTCTCTCCTAAATGGAGCGTCGGTCCTCAAATGTTAACAATTACACTAATCAAACTATAATTATTGATTACAAAGTTCAGTTCTACGTGATGCCACGAAATATGAGGTGTTATAAAATTTTAGGAATTAGAAAAGATTAAATTG